TGTTTTTGTTTGCTCTATATGTAGTTTTAGTATCAATGCTTCTCTTTGTTGAGAATAGCTCTTGTAAGAGGCGAATCTATACTTGCAAATATTGTCAAATAACTGTTTCATATATCTTTTGCTTGTACTCTACTTGTACTCTATTAATTGTTTGCTGATTCATGTGGAGTAGTTTTGAATTCATGAAGAGACTGATATAAGTTGTTTGTTTCATATTTTTGATATGAAGCCAAGGGAGCAATGACTTCTGTTACTAGTACTGATGTAAGTTTTAAACTTCATTTTTAACTTCATTTTTAGTTGAATGCTTCTCTGAGTTTAGTCTGGTTCTCTTAGTTTAGTTTAGTTTAGTTCTCTAATGTATATCCATAGTCTCTTTCATGGACTGATGAGCAAACCCGATTCTATCTCCAACTGAGACTTGAGGAGAAGCTGAAAGGAAATGACAGAAAACAAAATATCAATGAAGTTGGGAGACAAACCATCATTGATAAATTCAATGATGTCTATGGGGAATAGCATCCTTGGAGAAAATTTGGAATCAAACACACTACCTGCAAGACTCAGTATACTAAATACAAGCGTCTGATTAACAAGAGAACTGGCCTTGGCTTTCATCCAGATGGGAGTATAGATATGTCGGATGACTGGTGGAGTGAACTTATTAAGGTACATTCAACTACATTGTTATGTATGTTTGTTTGTATACAATTTTCTGAATCTCAATTCTTGTATTGGTTTTTCAGGAATGGCCAGCAGCGAGAAAGCTTAGAGAGAAGCCAATAACAAATGTTGACTTGTTGGAAAAAGTATTTGGAACGGTTCACATAAGTGGAGGTGAAGGATGGAGTGCTCAGCAAGGGGAAGACTGTTTGAATCAGAAATTCGATGACCACGTGGATCAGAAAGGCGACGATGATGATGGTGATGCTGAAGACACAGATGCTACATTTAGGCAAGTTCCTCCTACTCAGGAAACTCATGCTCCAGCTCCAGCTGAATCAAGAACTGTTTGCCCCTCATCTTCTAGTAGAACAAGAGCTAACAGAAAGAGATCAAGGGCTGCACAAGTGGGACAGGCTGTAGCAGATGTCCTTTCTAACAAAAATAAGATTATAGAGTGTCATCCTGAGTTCAGTTTTAATCAGCTCAGAGCCATGGAGGCATTACACTCGCTGTCTGAGATCAGGATTTGGTCGCCTTTGTACAAAGCGGCTATCAACCATCTCAAGCAAGATGCTAATAACCGTCAGACCTTCTTGTCTATGAAGATGATGAGAACAAGATTCTCTATCTGGAGTATGCTACTGGTGAAAGTAGATATGCTTGAAGATGTTCTGCTTGAAGATGTTTTCTGTTTTGTATGAACTCTAGTGTGTTTTCTGTTTTTTATGATCTTTGGCTTGCATTCTGTTTTTTTTATGAACTCTAGTTTGCTTTCTGTTTTGTATGAACTCTAGTGTGTTTTCTGTTTTGTATGAACTCTGTTTTGCTTTCTGTTATGCATAAACTCTAGTTTGATTTTTGCTTTGAGACTTATAAATCTGCTTTTGGTTATGAGAATTAGAATTAGCTTTTATTTGGTTCAATGGTTCTGACGTTTTAGGTTTTGATATTTCAGGTTTAATGAAGTAAACAAGTTTTGGTGAAGTCGAAATGGATTGTAAGGTAAGTCTCTCTTTACTTTTTGCACCTAATTTTAAATCGTTTTCTCTGCCCATTCTTGTATGATAATGCTGACCAGATCATTACTTATAGCATACATTTTAAAACGAATTTATGATGGC